TCAAGATAATGGAGTTTGGCCACCCATATTTTGACTGACCATTGCGATAACTGCTTAGCTTCTCCGATCGCAGACTGCATGCCCTATTAACACTTAGATATAATTATATCACATCGATGAATGTTTAAGTATACGGGTATGTGTATATCGGATTACTTTCCTCGCTTTCTGGGAAGAGAGTGCCGCATTGTCTCACGGCTAATACAATTATAGTGATGAAAGTAATTTCACGGTGCCATACATGTTTTACCAGACCCATAGGTTCTGGTATCAGTGTCACTAAAAGTATATTCTATGTCCTTTTTTATATACGTAAGTAAGAAGAAAATGAGTTATTGTGAATTAACTCATCCTAATACTTGGATGGAAGAAAAATGATTTTCCTATTTGTGATGATATTTTCAAGGTCTTATTTTATGCCCATTTACACTGTAACTCCATAAACTATCCATAATATATTATTGTTACCTACGTATTGATGGTCGGGATGGGATTCTAATTATAACGCCTGTATACGCTTTACAGTTCTTTATTCACTACATAGTTCATACACCTTATGCTTCGCCCACACCGCGGCAAAGCTTTGTTACTAAAATGCGCTTAAATTAGCGTTCTAAATTTGAATTACGGATAGTATTTTCCATTAGTGTGGCCGCACACCGGAGCCACGAGGTACATGCACGCAAAATTTATTCGCTACATTTTTGCTTTAGTCTCGCTACTAATTGCTACCGCTACAAATGTGTCCTTGGTGTGCGTGCTTACACGCAGATATATGGGGGTGTTAAATGTGTCGAATTTCAAATGTGGCGCCACAATTGTCGTAATAAAATTGTATGTCTGGTATGCGGCCAGCTTTACTCATGTGGTTCTATCGTAAGTACGCTCCTTCGCCAGTCACGTCATCGTCTAACGTCTATAGACACGCGTCACGATCAAATTTTATACGATAATTTCAAATATTAGTGTATAAGTTGCAATTTGTACTGACTCTGTCGCTTTAGTGTAGGCATAAAAATATATACAGATTTTCTGCATAAATTCTAGAGCCCAACTGGAGAAGTGATCTCTATTTTACAGAAGACTACAGTGAAGTAACAGAACCTTTTGGTGGTGATGTGTTTCTGTCGGTGATTAATGGTCGTAGCTGACATATAAATTCGGAAAGGGATCGTCACCGTACCAACTCCAGTCGTCCAGTGTTCTTTTATGAAACTCCCTACAGCAACGCACACTAATCGGAATTGTATCGTAAACGCTTCGCCTCGGGATAAGCTCCGACAACGGGCGAGGTCAACTCTTTATACCCTAGCTCAAGTCTCTCCGCAGCCTAGCTTACGTCTTTCCGTAGGCTAGCTTACGGCTCTCCGTTGCTTAGCTTACGTTTCTCTGTAGCTTAGCTTGCGTCTGTCCGTAGCTTAGGTTACACCTCTCCGTAGCTTAGCTTACGCCTCTCCGTAGCTTAGCATACGTTTCTCCGTAGTAACCACTCCGTACATTGTCCATGATTTAACGAACTTGTGTCGCCTACCTATTATCCAGCGGTCAGCGAGCCGTAAGCGCAGCGTGTCGCCTAGCCGTAGCCGATCCGAACGGACTGGAGTTACTTATCTGTTTACGGTGAACGCCTGTTTGACGGCAATCCGAAAGGCTAGTCGGTGTCGATCCTTTTCCGAGTTCATAGGTTGCAGGTCTTCACGGAGTTCGGTTGGAGGTTAGGGTAGGTAACGCGTGAGTGATACTGTACGGTATAGCGAGTCACTATAGGCCATCAAGTGCGTCATAAAAGCTTGTTTGCCACCCCTTTCACATAAAAAAATATATTTTTTTCAATCCATGTTATTTGAATTTCAGTGCCTTTTCAGAACAAAAGTCCAGTGATTGCGACTGTTGCTTTGTGCATTTATTATTACCTCGTATTTTAGCTCTGGCATGTGGTCTTATAATTGGGTTATAGCACTCATGGACTATATGACTGAAGTTACTACACAGGTGAAATACGTGAGCGGATTCTTATATGCTGCTTTGTAAGAGAAAACATGATCAGCAGTGTATTATCCCGATAGAGTAGTGTTTGATTGGGGAGTACCGTATCATATTTTTCTACTAGGCCGTATCTATGTTTTTAGATGCTTGAGTAATAGTGTATAACTTGTTAATTATTTTTGTTATACTGTAGTGTATTGCTGTTAGGTTCTTAGAGCTTCATAGGGTAAAGTAAACGCTGGTAATGTCGACAGTGTCCCAGTACTCGTAACTTTTCAAACATTGATTAATTAAAATTTCCTGTTTGTATTAAAATAAAAACTTTTTAAGCGCCCACTCATTCATGGTTGTATACTACGCCATTAAAATAGTAACACTTAGGTAAAAAGCAATGGTTTAGCATGGAAATTAAAACAAAGTGGAGCACTCCTAGTTATTGTTTTCTTTTCAAAGTAAACTTAACACACTAAACCTGGACATCTTTTGGCGGGGGCACTCCGGACCGCATCCAGCGCCGAGCGGCTCGAATCGTCGACGACTAGAACCTTTCAGCTTTGCTCTAAATTCTCTACCGCACCCTGGTGCGTGTTCACACTCCTGAGTGTTCTGACGAATTGTTCGGGTTAATTTAATCCATATCATCATATCATCTATCCACAACCGTGCAATTTCAATTTTTTATTTTTTACCACATATAACAAAAATGTGAAATATATTGTCGCCAGCAGTGTTTCCGGACCAATACAACCCGAAAACAGAGCGTACTCCTTCCTTAAAGGTCGGCATCGCATTTGTGATATTCCTTTTGTTGCAAATGTCTATGGGCGACGGTGATCACTTACCATGAGTGGCGTGCCGTCTGCTCGTATGCCCCCTATAATATGAAAGAAAAATGAAGAGCAGCACGACAATCAAATGTAGCTTTATATTGAAAAGTTCCTCATAACACTCTCAGTGGTGAAAACGGTAGAACGCATATAAGGTTACAAAACCTCTCGTCAAGCTTATGGTCTTAAGACCGATTGTGAGTTCTATTTCGTCAACATTTTCACAGCGCGTCTTTGAACCACATCCTGATGTGTTTATAATTGGTATCCAGCTTCTCAAGCTTAAGATGAGAGCAATATGCGGCGTCATGGACGTGCGGTCTGTCTAGCAAATTATAAAAATGCGTTTTGTCATAGGGGAAATATATACTCGCTTTAATGAGATTGTTCGACTTCTTTGACTCTTAGGCTGAAATCCTGAAGAAAATTGAAAGTTTCTATGGGCTGCTACATTTTGTATAAGCACCTATTGGATGAAAGGCTTCGTATCACAAAAAGCTTTTGAATGCTTACGAGACACTTTATCCGATATATCCTGGAACTTTATCATAATCTAATCCCATCCATCGGCAACGACTCGTGTAATTATTTTCAAAGAAATTTAAGAGGTGACCATTCACTGGATGACACTCAGTGGGGAATACCTATGCTCAGTAGAGGGCATCGTATAAATAATGATTTTTCAAAACTGTCCAGTCTAACACTGCCCGGGATAATATCTTATGGCTTCTTGATTGAAAAGAACGCTCCTAGTATCAACATAAATGGCAAGTACTGCAGCATAGCAGTACAGCTTTAGCCTTTGCAGATAAGGTATTTTTTGTCCGCAAAAATAGATCGCTTACAGCTGCATCGAGTAACGCACACGAGGTATTAAAATCTCGCGAAAAAAGTGCTCCGAACAACCGGGGACACTGATGGATCGGACAGCACAAAAGTACGCGGGTGTCTCCGAAAATGATAGTACCTACTCATGTGACAAGGCGCAGCAACGCATACGGCGAAATTTAGACCGCGATGCGTGCTCGATCCGATTTCCGATCCGATCCGCTAGATCGAAAAGATGGACTCACTATTCTGTTTTAAAACGTACTCTTTTACACTTAAAATTCATGTTAATTACAAGATAACGTAATCTAAGCATACTTCCATCCATGGCGTGCTCTTTTCAATAATTTCGGGGGACAAATGTTCGTCGTGGGCGTTGAGTCTGTGAAAAGGGATTTTTGTCCTCCGCGGACCATAGTTCTTCATCTACTTAGGCCAGTTTATTGAAAATCTTAAGAAATCTATCTTATGACCACAGAGCCTATAAAGGGTCCGAAAAATCAAGAGACATTAAAAGAAATTGCTCTTCATACCCATTTTAAAAGTGCTTTATTAAGTTGGTAAGCAGTACTTACCATTAATATTAATAATGTGATTCGTTTGTGTGCTGCGCCCAGGTCTAGATTATATTATAGTCTGCCACTCGAGTGCTGCACTTATAATTTTTACAAGTGGGATAGAGTAATTTTAAGAAAGTTATAAAAAAACGACTCACTTCTGCATTGGGCCGACAAATTTATGTGGGGTCATGTTATAATTGAGAAGTAATAAAGGTTTCATCATAAATGAAAACCTTTCTTGATTTATTTCTATGGGTTTCATCTACGTATACTTTAACTGATGAATATTCATTAGTGCTATGGTGTAGTAAGTACCTAATTTTGTTTGATTACGTGTGTTCTTTCATAGAGCTTTCTTTAAGCAAAGAATACTTGCAAGCTAATGTTGTACTTTTAAAACTCTACCAGAGAAATAACATGTGTAAAGATTTGAATATATAGAAAGTTTGAAGTTAATCTTTTCTGTTATTACCAACCTGTGAAATATTACGCTGAAGATTGGCAAACGCAATAAAACGACAACTATATCTATAATTATTTGAATAGCGAGCAAATGAGTGTTGGGTGTAAATTGTTAAACATAAGCGGTCTCAAGAAGACTTATAAAGCTCGCGTTGCGAACAATCTCCATACCTACCTAGACGAGGAGGCCTTGAGTTGACTTATCTTTTGGTTATTTTTGCCGAATCTGCCTTTTGATGGAGGTTGATCAATATATGTAAACATGTGGGATGATTGCAAGGTGCATCTTGCACAAGGTGCGTGTGCGCAGCAAAACCGACGGTGGGACGCGCGCGCCGCCAGTCTTGCGCTGTCTTGCGCCGCGACAACACGCGCACTCGCGATCAAGCATTGTTACAGTGAATGGCCATCAATATGAGGACCGGAGCGGCTCTCTCGCTGCTGCTTGTTATTGGTAATTTGACATTCTTTACTAATTTTACTTTCGAAGATCTTCTAAAGTATGCATCTGACAAGCGTTTAGAATTTAAAAATAAACTGCAGTTGCGAAAGTTTTTATTTTTTTTTCAAATTTAATAAGGAAAGAAATTCTGCTTTTATTAAGTTTATTTAAATAAAAAAGCTTTATAAAATATCCAAGTAACGAGCATCGTGAAAATTGAGGAAAAACTATTCTTGAATAAAAAAATAGTTGTCAAAATCTGAAAAAAGCTTTTCAGGTTTACAAAACTAATTCTGTTCAAATTAAATCATTAGATAGACCGCCTATGTCGATACTAGGAGCGTTTGAATTTAACCTGTTTTATTTTTTCATGCTTTAAACTGCTAGATAATAGGAAGAAAATGTAACAACAAAAAGATCGTGAGATGAGAGTAGAATTTTTTAAATTGAGTTTCGGTGTTGGAATTTTTCACTCGATTTCCAAATTTATATTCAAAAGAAAATTCCACTCGGTCCAGGTGGTCTATGAACTATCTTTACAGATTTACTAGAAAACTATATAGTCATAATTTTCTCTTTATATTGTATGTTTTTATACACTACATGCAAAACTCCAGGGAGTTTTTAATTATAAAATTCGACAATCAAAGAGACTTTACTCCGATGGCTGTATCTCTTAGCTATAAACTTTCTTTTGCCTATGGAACTAAATATCTTAAGAACAAAGTCGGTAATTATTAACTGACTTCAAAAATAATCGGTGTATTGTGTGTATAAAAAATACATGTATGTACACCGAATACACCGAGACTTTGATCCCATTTACGAGATTTTGTTATATTTTTTATTCGATGCGGAATATTTGCCATTTACTCCCATAAATATTTAATTCAGTTTGGCCTAGTAGTTTCTATTTTAAGAGCAGTTGTTGACTTGGACTATATGTAACTTTCACGATCATTTTGTATGTGTAGGCTCTTTATACGAAAATGGATGAAATAAACATTATTTTTAAACAAATAAATAAAATACGACTACAAAATCTAATATGGAACTAAAAAGTAAAAAATAATACGCAGTTCATGATTTGGAAGTCGGGCGGGACCAAGATTTAAACATGGAATAGATTTTTATTTCTAATCTTGTTTCAATATTGACCAACTTGACTTCCAAATCAGAACTAGATATTATTGTTCTTAGTTCCATTTTAGATTTTGAAGTCGGTTTTTTGCTCCTTAATTTTTATCGCAAATTGTAAAATTTTTGTCATATACTAAAATGAAAGTGAGAAAAATTTCCAGTGACTCTGATAGAAACGGAAGCCCAACCATTATTGACGGGATTTTGCCCGAACATCCATAGAAGAGTTTATGAAGAGATTAGAAAATGCAAAAAAGAGTAATCAAGTGGAGTTAGTTCCGGAATCTTTACTTCTAATGTACTTTCAACATTTATCACATTAATCTCGCGTTGTTTGATACATAGTTAAATTGATATGATAGTAGATACATATTTGTTTGATACATAGTTAAATTTCAGTATTAGTCATTGAATATCTCAAAATTTTATACATTTACTATGTATTTGACGTCACAATGAGTAATAGTAAAATTTAACTGTTTTAAACAATGCCCTTTAAGTTTCCATATATATTTTTTATATTTTAATAAACTTAGAAACAAAGTGAGCGAAATGAAGTTTTCCATAGTTTCTTACTACGTTCGGGAATTATGATGGTGATTCCCGAACGAAGTCAAGGAATTATGGTAAGGATCCTGAATGATGCAAGGGATTTAAGTCTATCTATTGAATAGGTTAATTTCTTCTTTTTCATTTATTGTCTCTTTTTATTACAAGGTTTTATAAATCTCTTACATTTTAGATTAGAGGACTGAATTGCTTGAAAAGCTTGTTTCTTTTTCTATTTTTATTATGAGTCGGTTGCGTTTTCACAAATGCTTCAGTCACATCTCGCGTGTCCAACCTATTAGTTAAGCCGTATTGTCAAATAACTGGCACGTAACTTTCTCTGCCTGATTTAAGAGTAAGAGTACCTACTTACGTAACTTAATACCGTTAACATAATCATAGATAATGCATCGAATTAAATGTGTCATACTTGTTAAATGTTTCATCGGCAGTCGTGTATATCTGGGTGACAGACCGTCGAAGTTGCGGCACTTTGAGGCTCATATAGACAAGTGCTGCTGCATTTTGAATTGATTGTATGTATGTCTTTGTCTAGAAAAAAAAGTGGTTTGTTTGTTTGTAGCACCTACAAATGACTTCTTCATTCGGCCTGCACACAAATTATTTGCTTTTTTTACCCGCTGGCGTTTCCAAGGTGTTTCGATTTTTCGTATGTATTTCTAATTAATTACCTCAAAACTTCAAATTAACATTCTAGATTTTTAATTTGTTATCATAAAGCACGCCATTGTTATACAGTTATTGCTATTATTTATACTGTTCAATTGCATTAATAACGATTTTACTAATATACACACATATAAACACGTTAAAAGAAAAAATTTTAATTAAATAATAGAGTTATATCTGTTATGGAAATATTGGCAGCTTAACGGGATGAATACACACAGATAAAATTTTATAAATAAGAGTTGCATTACACACACATTTTTAGGTGCTTAGACTAGAATAAAAAAAAAGGATACGTAGGTTGCAAATATTCCGGCAGGTTGAATTCTGACTAAAACTTTCATAGGTGATAGTAATTATTTTTAATTCCTTTACGATATTTGAAGCTGTCCCTATTCCTCGTTCTGCGTAATCTAAGTTAAAAATAAAATAAGCGCTTGCATCGATCTCTTATAGTTTCTTCTTTATTAAATATTCCGGTTCCGTGTACTATTATTAGGTAGGTATCTCATATTAAAGTGTTTGAATAGAATAAACTAAATTATATACAGCTAATTTAGACATATTTTAAAGTTTAATCATGGCCTTTTGATGATTCAGTGTATCTAAGTGTATATATACAAAAAAACTTTCCTTTAACTCCTCCCCCTAATTCATATATAACAAATAATATTCGCTTTATTTTGAGCACAAATTAAATTTTCTACATGTTAAGCTTTTTTTCTATGAAAAGTGCCGGTAAACTCTTTATCATAGACAGTAATTCAAGGATTTTATGAGAATAGGAAAGTATCATCTTTCCTATTCTCATAAAATCCTTGAATTAGCACGTGTGACTTATTTTGTTAACACATACTGCATCTTTAAACATAACTCAAGGGCACTTATAGCTCTAGTTTAGACTGATATTTCCCTTCTGAATGAGAGAAACTGCGCATTTGGTTCACAAGACTACTGCGAGGGACCTTATCCTAAGAACCTGTAGCACACTCAGCAAGGGTTGCTTTTTCTACCTGTTTTAATTCAGATAGTTTTGTCAATTGAAAGATTACATGAAAATACAAAAATATGGACTGATGTCAACTTCCATCACATTAATAATAATAGATTAACAATAAGACTTTTAATAACTTACGTTCTTAACGTAATCCTTTGGTTGTACACACTGTAATATTTTGTCAGTTCAAGAACACTTCTATTCTGTCAACCATAGAATAGAGAGGCCAGTCAAAATCACAAAATTAAGTTTCCAAATCAAGTATACGTGAGCGGTTATGCAGACTTCATTTTGATTGATGATGCGCTGGCCACTTATCACAGCGCTTTCTATTCACTCGTTCGTTACTTAAGCTTTTTGCTCCACACATGGCGAGTGGGTTACACAAAAGCGAATTAGTGAAAGTTAAATTCAAATAATGCAACTGTTTAGGGGCCCTGAACGTTTTCAGTTCATTTCGAAATATTTCATCCGATATTGTTATTTTTTGTGAATTTTCTACGCGTTAGCTCGGTAGCGGTATCAAGGACGACGTCTGTTGAATAGGAGAGAATTTATTTGCGCAAATGGGGTCAAATAGGAGTACCTAAGTATTTTGCCATAAATTTTGGGGTATTTTTTCTTCAGCTATATATATACATAGGTTCATATATATATCTGGTATATGCAATATTGGTTTTCGAAAGTTCTACTTCGTCTTAAGTCTTATTCTATTTTCACGCTCTATTAGACAAAGATAATACAAAACTAAATAGCAACAATTTACGAATGAAATGATTTAAAAATTGTTTTGCTCGTTGATGGAGTGAAATTTAGCTGTTAAGAGCGGACGCGAGCTGAGAGATATTTGAGGAATAGGTATTTGGAAAAACTATTGCTGTCACGCATTGGTAAATACAGTGCGATAAGGACAACAGTAGTGAACGCTGAAAATTGCGTATAAAAATTGCAAAAATCAAGGTTTGGCTCTCGACGATTTCCTCCTCGAAAATGAAACATATGTAAAGGAAATTTTACTCATAGAATAATAAGTAGTTATACTATGCCTCTATGTTTTGCTTTTTTGTAAATGCTAATAAAATTTCCACACTAGAAATCTTTAGTGGTGATAAAAATTTGTTTATTTTTGACATTTTTTTATTATCTAAGCATTTAACTGTTCACTTTTATTTTTTATTAACAAAGTAATTTTTTTTCACTCTAAAAACTCTTTGTGTTGCTATTCCATTATTGCAGCACGAATTTGCAATGATTTTGCTAAGACAAAGTAATGATACGGTGCTCAGTTAGTGAGTGACTGTTATAGTGATGCATATGTGTGACTGCGTTGTTACTAACGGTTCTCCTTTAGACTGTTATCAAAATTGCGCTCTGAAACCTACAGCGGTACAGCTTACTGTCCGTGCATTTGTAGTTTTGTGAGGTTAACGGTTAAACTAAAAATATATGTAAATTATATACTGTATTATATTCAGTGTAAATCTGTTCTGCATATTTTGTCTATTTAGGATGAATGAAAGAAGTTTATTTGAAAACTAGCGCGTTCTGCCTGCGTTCCTGGAAATTAATCAAAGTTTGGGCATTCAGTTCGGACCTGTGTGTGTAATAATTTATTAAATCCCAATATTGGGAAAAA